TGTGTCTCCTTGGCCCTAGAGTTTAAGCATTTAAAAGTTCATTTCATTAGTGTGGGTTTGGAGTGTGTGTGTGTGTACGTACATGATATATTTCTGGTAGTCAGAGAACAATTTCCAAGAATGTTAGTTCTCTCCTTCAGCATGAGACCCAGGGATTGAACTCAGATCAACTGTATTTGCACACTAAGCGCATCTACTGCCTGAGCCCTTACCACTGGCCCTGAGGTAGTGAAAGTTTTTTTTGTTTGTTTGTTTTTTTTTACCTTTAGGCTGAGTGAGATGGAGCACACCTTTAAACCCAGATATTGGTGGTGGTTGAGTGGGCTTTGAATTCAAGGCCACTATGATTTATAAATCGAGTCCTAGTCCAGCCAGGGCCACACAGACAGACCCTGTCTCAAGAAACTCATAACAACAACAACAACAACATCCTTATGAAGCAGTGTTTTTCTTTCTTGAATTGGCAGTCGGCACTGTTCATTCGTTTACTCACTAACACTTTAACATCTCTTACCATCAATTTATGTAAACTATTTATTAATTGCAGTAATACACTCTACTGCAGTAAGTTCAACAAACATGTTTTTCATTGGTTATTGACTTTTTACCTTAATTTCCAGTTTTGGAAAGAAAATACACTGTATTCTACTTTATGTGTCTTTCAGTATCTGGCACATATAATGTGCTCAATTAAGTGTTTGTTGGATGATGTAGTCAAATGAATTGACTTTTTCCTTCATGTTTTTCTCTGTCATTTTTATTCTTAGAGTAATATTTTCCTCCCAGGAGGCAAAAACATTATGCACTATTTTATAATTAAAATATTTGAAGAGTACTTGCATTTAATTAATATTGAATTTATTTTGATATGCGGTGGTTGATAATTCCATTTTCTTCCCATAAACTCTACTCAGTAATTTCCGCAGCATTTTTTGAATAGCCTCCCTTTCCCCTGTGTTTTGTAAAACTTCCTGCACCTTCCATTAAACCGTCATTTGTGTCTTTTAGGTTTTGTTCCATTAATCTGTCTGTTCATCCTTGTGGCAAGACTCAACTCTAATTATGGAGGCATTAAAGTTGAGTGGAATATCTGGTATAGAATAATGAAGACCGTCACTCCATTATTCTTAAACAAAAACAGTTAAATATTCCTTATTCGCCTCTTCTTATTGATTAGTACTCAGTCAAATTCTCGGTGGGAAACCCTTGTGCCTTTGATTAGCCTGTGATGCCGAGGGGCCCAGGCTCTGCGGAAAGCAGCTGGGGAGGGGCGAACCCTGACCTGCTAGTCATACTGCAGGGCTACTTGGCAAATTCTTTAACTTCTTTGTGCCCCTGTCTCCTCAGTCTGTGCAACAGAGGAAACAAGAGTTCTTATTACTTCATAGGATTGTTGAAAATATTTAAGTATAGGCTATTTAATTCAATGAATATATAACACTGTAAAATATATACCAATATATACTGATTTCTTAAAATAATGCCCAGCACACAGCAAGGACTGAGACACCCACTATTGTTACTTACTATATTAGTTGAAGACAAATAAATGTTTTAATAACATTCTCACCAGGAATCTGAAGAATTTAAGAGATGCCACTTTGGCAAGACATTTTTACTTTTTCCACTTGACTCCTGTCAACTGTTTATAAGTGTTACTCCTCAAGTATTGTGGCCTATGGCTGCACTGTGTGGCTCCTTCTTCCCCTGACCCTCCTCCCCTGACCCTCCTCCCCTA